TTCACATCTCGCTGAAGTTTTTTTTTTTTATCTTTTTACAGATAACAAATACAAAAAGCAAATTCTTTCTTTTTATACTTTTGAGTTATGGGAATTATAAGTAGAATGTGACTCGCAGATTTATAAACATAAATGAATGTACATACACGTACTTTTGATAAATACTTTGATTTCTTCGGATCTTTCAACATTTCTAAGGGTATTTATCTTAGATATATACTTCTCCCTTTTTCTACTTCCATCTATAGATCAAATCATAACAGTAAAGTGACTCACTAACGTTATGCTATAGTATAGGATTTTCTCGAACGCTCTTACACGAACGCCAATTGTAAACAAGCTTCGTTCCTTCACATCCCATAGCGTTTCGCCGCATCCCAGTCCTTCAAAACAGAAACCATGAGGAACGAGGAGAAAATAGGAACTTTAGAAGAAACAGCACAGAAACGACGAGAGAGGTTGCTCGCCTTGAAGAGGAAAAGGCAAGGAGATTCTGAGGATAAGGATGATAATGATGAGGAAAAGGATAATGAAGAACTACCTTCTTCCCAGGTCTTGTTTAGGTAATATTGTTTTTGTTTTGAATTTTTTTTTTTTTGTTTGAAAATGTGTACTTTTTTTTTTTTTGCTGACATTTATGGTTAGATTTAATCTTTATTCTTATGTTTATGTTAATTGTTGACTCTTAATGCTGCATTCGCAACTCCTTTTCCAACAAGATGGAGATATTTTGGTAAATTTACAGCAGATATATTTGCCTTACTAGGCCCGATATTGGTGTTCAGGACAATTTGTTTGGTTAATCTTTATGGCATGGATGCATCAAGTTAGGGCAAATTGAAGATAGTATTCTTGTAGAGGACTTAACCCACTCACGCCGGGTACATTTTGTAGCCAAAATAAAAAAATATGGGCGGCTACAAAAATCGGCGGGCAGAGCTTCCCCGGAGTCTGTCCACCTGCTGGCCGCGGCCCGCTTCTGAGCTGGAGCGCGAGCCCGACACAGCGTCACACTGGCGGGACGCGCGGAGTGTATATTTTTTTTGGGTGTTTCAGATATGGGACACCCAGAGTGATTGGGTTAAAAGTTTTAGTTGTCTATACAAGAAAGAATCTGCTGCCTTGAACAGTAGCACCATAAATAAAGGGTAAATATTGCATAAAATGCTGCTCAGAGCCCAAATCCACTTGGTGCTCCTGAGCTTCTAATTTGTCATACATAATGAGGAGAAGATAACGTTTCTTGGGTGGTGTTGGGGGCAGAGCCCCCTATCAAACCTCCCCTCAGGCGGTGTTTGAAGGGCACACCCAGTTGTGGAAACTTTGAATATTAATTAAATTTTGTCACATGAAGTGCAATTGTACTGTAAAGAATCAGTTGTTCACCTCATCCATCTCACCCACCTTTGTAGCTGAACAAGCACATGTACACCAGCACTCTCTACACTTTACACTCTACACACACAATGCTGGTGATTTGGGATATTTAATTTTAAAAAATGTAAGCCTACATAATTCATACCCTTTAGAAAGAAAATTACTTGATTATCTGCACCCTGTAATTCAGCATTTATTTTACATTAATTATTTGTGCAGGGATATTAACACTGTATTAATAAGAAATAATATTAAAGCACTGAGTACAAAATATTTTTTTGTGAGTTTGTATTATATGTATTATACTTACTAATCATTTCCATTAATTATTTTTCATATCTTCCTAATTTCTTATAGAAATTACAAGCCGAGAGATGAAGCTTTAGAAGAGGTCGCCCTTCCAGCTGTAGAGCCGGCTAAGGTTGAAGATTTAGTAAAACAGCAATTAAATGATGGAGAGAAAGCCAAGGAGGAAGTGCAGGTGAGTAGCATAAGAATGCATGCTGATGGAAAGAAAAGAAAATGATGTTAGCATAATGAAAGTAAAGATAATTCAGGAAAGTAGATAAGAGTATTTTTTATTTGCATGATTATTTGTACCAAAATAAATGAAATGTGTGTGTGTGTGTGTAATCTAAAACACCTTGAGTATACATAAGAAGTCACAAATTAACCAATTTTTAAGGTGGAGATAACAAACCTGGCACCCAAGAAAATCACCTTTGACCTGAAGCGTGGCATTCAGGCTCAACTGGACAAGCTTGACCGGCGCACAGACAAGTCTATTGCGGAACTCATTAGACAGAGACTGAAGGAGGGAAAACAACAAGACTTCCTTATTGCAGTGAATGCAGGTGCTCAAGCACAACAGAAGGCTGGATATGATTCTGATGAAGACTGAATAAAAAAATGGGATTCAGTATGTATATTTTGGGGGGATGCTAATTTTTTTTTTTTTTTTTATGTAATATATATTTGATCTTGGAATTCTATATCTGACTGTTTTGTTATAGCAAAATATATTTTACTATATAAGATGTTTTCATTGCCATTTTCAGCAATTCCTCTTTTTAAAGGAATAAAGAAAGACAGGTATCCAATTTTGAATAAAATTTGAAAATTG